TAAAAATTAATTGATTAATTTTTATATCTGCATAAATCAACTAAAATAGGTCTACCATAATTGAAACATTGAAATATATGTATATATTACCTTGCATACATATGATATATATATATATACATACATATTAGTATATACATAAATATACTCAGGAAAATTGAGGGGAAGTGGAATATAGAAGAGAAAATTGTAAACATATAAAAAGAGTGTGTACTGCTCTACTGATACATGCTAAAACATGAGTGAACTTTGAAAACATTATGTTAATCAAATAAACCAATCACAGAGGACTGTGTGTTGTATGAATACATTTATATAAAATAGGCAAATCTGTAGAAATAGAATGTATATTAGTGGTAGCCTAGGGCTAGGGGGATGGCTAGATTGGGGGATGATGGCTAAAGAGTATGAGATTTCTTTCTGAAGTAATTAAATACTCTAAATTTGATTGTGGTACAGATTGCTCAGATCTCTGAGTATACTATAAACCATTGTATTGAACAGTATAAGAATGTAGAAAATACATCTTTAAAATTTAATAAGTTATTAATTAAAAATTATATTGCTGAAACTTCAAAAAACTTAAATTATTTAAAAATCTTTAAACTTTTGAGAAAGCAAAAGGAATCCTGTCTGCATGAGAGCAACTTCCATGGGTCAAAATGGCAACTTCTCTAAAGAGAGTCCACTTAGCTAACTAACAGAAGTTCGCTCTGTGGCTTCACTGATGACTTCAGAAAATGGATACTGGTTTTGGTTATTGAAACACCTTGGGAAATGTAAAAACCTGACTCTATTTTGCACATAAGGTAGGAGAAGAGACATATTCAAAGTAACAAGAATCTAGCAGATAAAAACAATGAAGGCAATTGAATCTCAAAAATATTCCAAAAGCAAAATACAGTCTTTGGACCAATGATTCTGCATGAGCTTGTCCAGGCAAAGTGAGGACAGTCTAATCTAAAATTTCTAATCTATAAGTGTTGGTAATATGACACTAACAGTGGATGAAAAAGCAGAGACTTGGCTCAAGTGAGAAGAAAAGCTAGGATTTAAATCAGGGTTTTCTGACCCCAGGTCTCCTTTCTTCTTATCTTAAAATCTCACGTAGGATCCCTGAATATCAGCAGTGTTGGAGCAGTTCCTACAGATTTGGGTTCTGCATCTGTGCTTGTGTGATCTTAATCTCTCAGAGGCTCACTCTCCTCTTTTATAAAAGCTAGACTTTTTAAACTTATTTTTTATTGTTGACACTATTGCAAAGGTCTCGCCTAGGTTTGATAAGTGAAATTTTATTCAGAATACTGATGCAAAAGAGTTAAATTTCAGAATGACTGGTGCTTTCAGTCACCACTGGTTTACTTTGCCTTAAGGATTTAAGAAACGCTTTCAAGTAGAACAGGCATTTAGATAGTTTAAATCTACGTTTAACAGCTATGAGCTTTTTTTTTTTTCTATTGAGGATGCACTTTGTGTGGGAAACTGAACACTACAAAAATTCCTGAAGGAAATCTTATCCAAGCTTATCTGACCCAGACATGAAAGTGACATGACAAGGGAGAGCTAAATAATAATGTTTTGCTCTTGAGAAATGAACTAATGATTTGAGACAGATCTGTAATGTAAGCTACAGACGTTGTACAAAAGGAAAATTTGCAAGCTCTGTGCCTGGAGGATAAGAAATTTGCTGTATGTCTGAAACTGGTAAGGAATGGCATTGAATGCAAACCGTGGTTGAAAAATAAACAACTTAATTATTTTAAAAAAGAAAACTAGTTTAATGAGTCATTAAATGATGTGCTCTTTAGGTTTGGGGAATGACTAGGTTAAACATATATCTTTAATTAAGTACTTTTCGGAGCCTTTAATATTCTCACAATCATGGTAATTTCACAAAAGGATTATTGTTATGAAGAGTTTCACAAATTTATTTTTATGTCCAAATGCAGCTAACATTTGTTGAGTATTGAATTCATGCCTGCTATTGTTCCTAAGACCTACACATGTATTGTCTTATTTAATCCTTGTAATAATCCTATATGGTAAATATTATTGTTATCCATATTTCACAGTAGAAAATATAGATACAAGGAGGTTAAGGGATACATGGTTAAAGTTTAATATAAGCTGGGTCTCACACTCAGGCGGGTTTGACTCCAGAAATAATGCTCTTAACTAGCACATGGTTTTTTGATGAGTTTCTATTAATCAGAGAACTGTTTTAGGGAATTTTCCTTGGAAGGAGTGCTCTAAAGAGAAGAATATGTTGGAAGCATTTACCAGATAGAATTTAACAAGTTTGGGTAATTATTGTCCAGAATTTTGTTTATAAAGGGAAGATTGTGTCAGTGAGAGTCTACTGGGCAAATCACCGTAAGTCAGGTGTCTTCTTGGGTCTCCAACTTTTGGGTCCTCCAGTCCAGCTAAATTCCATCTTACTTAGTCCTTGCTATGCATAGGAAAGGATGATTTCTCAAATCTCCTAACAGAATCCCAGACCCAAAGCATGCAGACCAAGAGATCCCATCCCATACATGGCTGCCTAGGGACAATTACTGGGCACATCCTGATAATGACAAAATGTGATCTCAACATCTTTAACCTGGGGATCGATCCATTTAAATTTCCCTGGAGTCTCTCCTAGACAGATTTTCCAAAGCTTAAATTGCCCAAAGGCAATTTAGTCTTAGCTTTTTCTTTAACAAATATATGTTCTACTTTATGAATCCCCAAAAATGTGCCACTCTATCTCAGTAGTAAGGCAGCTTCAAAATTTGGGATATGGTGTGACACAGAGGTGCTATGAACTTTCATATCTCTGTGATTGGTGATAGAAGAGATGGGGGATGTTCAAATAGGAAGGCACATCTTTGTATCTCTAAGACTTTCATTCTTAATTATTTTTGAACTATAATAATGTCACTTTGGGGGTAAGTTTTTAACATATATTAATCTATTTCTGTGTCTTATGAAAAACTATAAAATGCATTTACTTATTTTAGAAATTGAAACCAATTTAAGTTTTATTTAGAGAATTCACTAGGTGTGATTTGTGCAGTGCCTTGAGTTAGTTTAAGACAGATTTGGACCACTGATAAATTTAAGTTCTTGGCTCTAAAATATTTTTTAAAAATTACTTCTTCAAACATAAAATCCCACAGGACAAATTTTTTGTTTTTGTTGTTGCAATAATACCTAAAGTATTATGAACTTATAAATAGCTAAAAATATATGATAGCCAACATATTCAGTATTGAGTGTGAATATGAAAAGCATAATTATTCCTTTTAGACTTATTACATTACATGTTTATGAACTCATATCAGCCTCAGGAACATAGACAATTTTATTCTGGGTACATTATTTATAAAATGGTATAAATAAGATTTTGTCACTCAACAGATGGTGAAATAAATATTCAATTTAAATTGATATAGGTACTAACTTAGTATGAATGGGTATGTGGGATAGATATATCTCCTTATCTTAGAAATCTACTTTATTAAAAACAAGACATTGTTATTAAATAGCATAACATAATATCCTTTAAAGAAATTTGGTTTTGTAACATTAAAAATAAGCAGATTTATAACCTGTCATTGGAATTCTTCCACAGTATAGTCCCAGTCTATATAAATATGTATGTATATGAATGTTTTACTGAGATTTAGTTGACATCTAACATTGTGTAAGTTTAAGGTGTACAATGTGCTCATTTTATACATTTACATAATGATTACCACCTAGCTTTAATTAACACCTGTATCATCCTATATAATAAAAGCCTAATATGCTAACTGTCCAACTGTTCATTCGACCATTTGACCAGTCGCTATGACACACACTGACCGCCAGGGGGCAGACGCTCTGATGGGTAGGTTAACTTGCTACTGGGGTCCGGCCAATTGGGACTGGGTGAGATAAGCTGGACATGCCCTGGAGCCCTCCCTGGACCCCTCCCCATCCCTGATCACCTGGCCTGCACCCTCTCCCAATCCAGGACCCCTTGGGGGATGTCGAAGCCCTGGTTTCGGCCCGATCCCCGCAGGCCAGGCCAAGGGACCCCACTGGTGCATGAATCCGTGCACTGGGCCTCTAGTATCATCTAGTCTCTTAGTCACTTTGAAGCATATAATGCAGCATTGTTGCCTGTAATCACTGGGCAGTGCATTAGATTTTCAGGATTGTCATCTTCTAGTTGCACATTTGTATCCTTTAATAGCATCTCTCTAATTCCCCTACACCCAGCCTGTGGTAACAACCTTTCTATTCTGTTCCTACCTGTTTGCTTCTTTTAGATCAGCGGTTCTCAACCTGTAGATTGCGACCCTTTGGGGGTCGAATGACCCTTTCACAGGGGTCGCCTAAGACCATTGGAAAACTCATATATAATTACATATTGTTTCTGTGATTAATCACTATGCTTTAATTATGTTCAATTTGTAACAATGAAATTGGGGGTCACCACAACATGAGGAACTGTATTAAAGGGTCACGGCATTAGGAAGGTTGAGAACCACTGTTTCAGATCCTACATATAAGTGATATAATACAGTATTTGTTTTCCTCTGTCTGCTTTATCTCACTGAGCATAATGCCCTCAAGGTCCATCTATGTTGTAGTAAATGGCAGGATTGCCTTTTTCCCTCATGGTTAAGTAATACTCTATTGTATATCTGCACCACATCTTTTTTATGTTGACAGACTCGGGTTGTTTCCATTTCTTGGCTGCTATAAATAATGGTGCGGTGACATGGGAGAGCATATCTCTTCCATATCCTGTTCTCATTTCCTTTGTTTATGTACCAAGAACTGGGATTGGATTGCTGGATCATATGGTATACATATTTTTTAATTTTTTCAGGAACCTCTATATTGTTTGCATAGTGGCTGTACCAACTTATTGGTACATTCCCAGCAACAGTGCACATGAGTGCCCTTTCCTCCACATCCTCTCCAATAGTTGTTATCTCTTGTTCTCTTGATGATAGCCATATCCAAGGTGATATCTCATTGTTGTTTTGATTTTTATTTCTCTGCTGATTAGTGAGGTTGAGTATCTTTTCAGGTTGGCATTTGTATGTCTTCTTTAGAAAAATGTCTATTTGGTTCCTCTATCCATTATTTTAATCAGATTTCTTGTTTTTTTTGCTGTTGATATAATTGAGTTGGATGATTTTTCATATGTTAAAATTTTTTTATTATTCTTCACATTAGCTGGAAAATTTTGTTCATTGTTCAGTGAAAGCCTTGGCTGAAATCTTGGGAGCATTATTTTTTTTGATACATTATAATTACAGCACCTTTAGGATAAAACACCAAAGAAAATAACTTTCCTTTGTTCAATCTCTATTGACCATCTAATTATTGGTAATGGTTTGAGTTTGGCTTGAAGAGAGAAATAAAGCTATGTATTAAAGAACATTTAGGAGCACAAAGTTCAGGGAGGGAGATAATATCTGAGCATTAATCATCATAATTCAAAGTATAAATAATGTAAATGTCACTAGAAAGTCAGAGATGAATGTTACAGGAATTTATAAAGGAGAATAATTATTTCAGACTGGAAGGAGACAAGAAGTATTTGTGCTGCTTCTAATATGAATATTCTTCAATTGTCAATTAGTAAAACCTGTTATTATAGCCAACGTTGATGACATGAGAATTGAAATATTATATAAAAAGTGTCCCTGTTTTAAGATGCAATAATTTATTTGAAATAAAGTGAAACCTTATGGTTCATTGTTTATCTGGGCTGAGAGTAAACTGACTTTTATATTAGCAGTATTGTGGGAGGGTCTTAGTGCAATCCTTAAAGTAGGGTAAAATCAGAAAATTTAATCCTAATGTGAAGTCAGTTGATTATTATTGCCAAGAATGAAAATCAAAAATTGATTGCTCTACCATTTATTTAGGTGACATTTGAGAGTGTACTCCCCTAACCCTCAGCACTTAGTGTACTATTGTTAAAAAATATATTTTTATTGATTTCAGAGAGGAAGGGAAGCGTAGAAAGAGAGATAGAAACATCAATGATGAGAGAGAATCATTGATTGGCCGCTTCCTGCATGCCCCCCACTGGGGATCAAGCCCACAACCTGTGCCCTGATGGGAATGGATGATGCTCAACCACTGAGCAACACTGGCTGGGCTGTCTACTATATTTTATTCTCAAAAGTCTTTTGAAAGCATTACAGAAGGGAATTCACTTGGCATTATGTAATACATATACAAGTAAGATATCATTCTCAAAATAGATCCTTTTTTATATCATGTACATCTAAGCTTATTATGATAATACAGTTGAGGCTAATGAAATTTTAAATTATGAGAAGGACATTACAGCAGTTTCAGTCATCACTAAGTCATGTTTATATTTTATTTATTACACTAGGGGCCCGGTGCACAAAAATTTGTGCACTCGGGGGGGAAAGGGGGGTCCCTCAGCCCGGCCTGTGCCCTCTCGCAGTCTGGGACCCCTCGGGAGATAACGACCTGCTGGCTTAGGCCTGCTCCCGGGTGGTAGAGGGCAGGCCCAATCCCAAAGTGCAGCCCCTGGTCAGTCTCAGAGCAGGGCCAATTGGGGAGTTGGGGCACCGCCCCCTGTCATGCACAGAGCAGGGCGGATCGGGAGGTTGCGATGCCACCCCCAGTCACGTTCAGGGTAGGGCCGATTGGGGGGTTGGGGCGCCACCCCCTGTCACACTCAAGGCAGGGTCGATGGGGAGGTTGTGGCGCCACCCCCTGTCACGCACAGAGCAGGGCCCATCAGAGAGTTGGGGACCTCCCCCCTGTCACTCAGAGAGTAGGGCCAATAGGGGAGTTGGGGCACCACCCCCTGTCACACACAGAGCAAGGCGGATCAGGGGGTTGGGGCGCCGCCCTCTATCACCCACAGAGCAGGGCCGATCAGGGGGTTGGGGCGCCGCCACTGTCACACTCAGGGCAGGGCCGATGGGGAGGTTATGGCTCTA